ACAGGATACCTCTATGTCAAATGGTGATATCTGTGGCAGGAAGCTCCAGACCTCCCCAGACTGGTCTTTGCTGTCTTCTGGCTGTTGCACTCCCTTCCAGTGGGATTCCTCGCGCTCCTGAAGCAGCTCGAGCTCCCTCTTAATGACAGGCCATCCCCTTCTAGCCAGAGAGCCACCTCTTCTTTTTGCTTGGCAAAAAAGCCTCCTTCTCCACTTGCTTCAGCTGAGACAACCCAGACCTCCTCAGTCCCTATATCAGTTTCCTATCTTTGCTGTAACAAATGACCACACATGTCATGGCTTAAAGCAACATACACACCCCCTGTCCCACAGCCCTGGAGGGCAGACATCGCACTGCGCCAGGATCCAGGTGCTGGCAGAGCCACTGTCCTTCTACAGATTCCAGGGGAGCATCCACTTTCTTGTCTTTTCCAGCTTCTCCAGGACCCGTCCCTTGGCTTACGGTTCTGCCCTCCATTTTCACATTTTCAAAGCCACCAGTGCAGTATCTTTAAAACCACTCTTCCTCCCTCCCTTCCTCCTACCCCGCCAGGCCCCCACTGCCTCTGTCCTCACATCTTCTCAGCCTGGGGGCCCTCCTGCCTCCCACTTATAAGGACCCTTGTGATGACACGGGCTCCCCTGGATAATCCAGGATCCTCTCCCATCTCGAGGTCCTGACTGCACCACGTCTGCAGCGTCCCTCTGGCATGCACGTTGGCACATGCACAGCTTCTGGGGGTTAGGACAAGGACATGGTGGGGAGCCACCATTCTGTCTGCCACAGCACTCCCATCATCATGCCGTGTATGCCCAACAAGTACAGGCATTCTTTGTCTTTAAGTACTGCTCTCCTGAAAGGGTAAGCACCTTGTGGGCACCCGCCTGCTTGCTCCACATAGACCTCAGTGTCAGGTGCGTAGCAATGACTCAGGGAATACCTGGCCACCCGACTGAGGGGGCCGTTTGGCATGGTCGGACCAGTGTTCCTGGGTGAAGAAGTGGAGGCTAAGACTGTCCTGGTAAAGGCTTTGAAATGAATGGCTAAGCAGTATGGATTCTACTCTACACACTGCCTGCCAGCAAAGGTTTCTGTTCAAGGAGTTAGCATGAATACAATGTGTCTTTGGGGGCTAAGGCCCAGAAAGAAACTGGCAAGAGGGAGTGACTGAAGCCGGGTGACCAAGCAGGAGGCCACAGAAATGAGGACCCACACTAGGCGGTGGCGAAGAGTGAGAATAGCTGTGAAGGGGAAAAGCACTTTACATCCTCTCTAGAGCAGAGCAAATGAGAAGTAAACACAATAATAGGATCCCGTGACTTATTGGAGGAGCCAGGAGAAGGGAAAGGGGGGTTCAGCCTGATGAAAGCAAGCAGGTGGAAGAACCGGGCGCAATCAAACCAGGCTCTGAGAACATGCTCAGAGGAAGGGACAGATCTGTCCTGCTTCACACAAGTACACTCCCAGGAGGACCACAGCTCTGCCAGCTTCGACTAGCGTCTGCCGCTACTGCCCCTGAAGCTGTCTGGTTTCTGGGCTTCTGGGTCAGTATCACAGGAAATTCAGACATGTTTCACATCTGAAACAATGTCCTAGTGTTCTCCTCAAACAAGTTGCTGCACTCAAACCCCTCTAAGTCCTCTTTGTTAGAAGTGCTGCCATTGCCAGCATCTGTGCACGTACACACCTTTCCCTTCTTCCTATAACAGGAGTCAGCTTTGAAGATCAAGTTCAAGTCTCTGCATAAGCTCAAGCCATCAAAGATCCCCCAAAGCACAGGGAATTGTCTCCCCTTCCTATCCTTTGTGGCACTGACTGGCTGTCACCCTCCTTGGACTGTGAGCTCTTTAAGGGTGACACCACAGTCCCCCCTCTCTGCACTCCTGGTACCTCAAGAAATACTGATTGTAAATGAAAGAAGAGCATAGATGTCCTAGAGATAAAACATTTTCGTTATGGGTCATCGAAGTTGGCAAATTCCAGGTCAGCTATGCACACAGCCCCCACTCTGCTCCACAAGAACTTGGCGGGCTCCAGGGTGGGATGGAGACCTCCTCCTCCTGGCCATGACCGGGCACGGTGAGAGCTTGGCTGCTATGGAGCAAGCTGAGATGCGGGGTCCAACCACACAGCCATATATTGCTTATTCCTTTGCTTCTCCCCTCTCCTCCTCCAGGACTATTCTAGCTGGTACGCCCTGGAACCAGCTTCACGAATGCAATCCTGAGATGCATCATGGGGAAACAGCACTGGATATTGATATTAATGTTATATTATTAGAGTTGGCGCTGACTCGGCCCAACACCTCCCAGTTTGAGCCATAAAAATGGCCTTCTGTGAGTTTTGTGTGAACACGTCATAGAACTGAAGACATTTGTGAGATTTCTGGAGTGGGAGTCATAGTCTGAACAATTTAGTCTAAAACCAGAGAACCTGCTAGAAGGGTGAAGCAGGAGTGGCTGTGAACCACCCCCAGCTAACCCTGAATGGAGGTGAATTCTCAGACTTGCCTATGGATTCAGAGAAAAAGGAAAGCTGAGTAAATGACCAGAGGCCCTTGGAGGCCCTGGGCATTACGCAAGAGGCCACCGCCTCGTTCTGAAATGGCAAGGTTCCAGAGACACTTTTATGGCAGCTGAAGCAGTTCTGAGGGTCCCTGTTCACTAGCCAACATGGGATGCAGCTTTCAGCTGCCTGTGCAGCAGTTCTCAACTGGGGCGATTTTGACCCCCAGGCAACAATTGGCAGTGTCTACAGATACTTTTCACTGTCACACTAGTGGGGAGGGGCTCCTGGCATCTAGTGGGTAGGAGACAGGGATGCTGCTCAGTCCTACAACACACAGGACAGACCCCACCCACTGCAAAGAATCATCACATCACAAGTGTCCACGTTGTAGAGCTGAGAAAGCCTGAGCCAGAGCAGCTAGGAGAAGCACAAGACCCAGCTGCATAAGGCCTGAAAGGTGCTCAATAGCTGGACTTTCGACATCACCAGTAGAGATTCTCTTGGAAGACAAAGGACCCACCTTGCTTGCAAGTGAGAAGGACAACCAGTGCTCAAAACAATGAATCTCCGAGGTTTCTGACAGGGCTCCAGGGCCTAAAACCTCTGAAAGGTAATCCAGGCCATGAAACTCCAGACCCTGGGTTACATTAGGATCTGGGCCTCTGCTCAACAAAACCAGCCTTGGACCTTCATGCCAGGATTCTATCCAACCACGCCATATCTGCCTCCAGAATAAAGGGATTACCCACACAGACACACTCACACACACCCATTTTATGAGAAAATTTTGTTCTTTTGCTAGATGGCTATGTACTTAGTTTTAACCACTACAGGAGGTGAAGGTCACTGGACGAGCTGCTCACTGGTTGGCCAAACACCGTGGAGCAGTCAGATGCTAGGAGGGATGGCCACAGGTCAAGTTCACACCCATTGCCGCAGAGATGTGAAGGGCTACAGTCACCTCTAACCAGTCGTGAGTTATCTCCTGGTGCCTTTTGTTCACAACAGCAATGACCAGCCTCTGTAGAGCATATTTCAAGTGTGCATGGCTGTTAAGAATATCAGGAACATTCTTAATGATGCAACTGGTTTTACAGGAATGTCTAATCCAAGAACAGAGCTTGCTTTTGCATTTCTCTCTTACTTGCCAATGGAGAAACCTGACCGTGGATGCTTCTCAGATAGAGATCGAAACCAATACTTCAAGAGAACATCAATTCTTAGATGTGTGGTCTTCCTAATGTTGAGTTCCCTGGGGTGGAAAGAACCTCTTCCTCTCTGATTTGACATTTCCTTCTAGACTAACGTCCTCGAGAAAATGGGCAGAAGAGTCAGCACCATTTGTTTCTGTCATCTGTACCCTCCACCAAACAGCAACGATGAATTTCATGCAGTAACTAAAATCTTACAAGCAGGAGGTGCTGATTCTTCTGATTAAAAATTGGCATTTCTCAGATGGCCTATGACAAGCTGAGATCTCATAGTTATCTCACGTGAACAGATATTGGATGTTATTTTCAAACTGATTTTCTTGGTGGTGTTCCTTTATTTAGACTAAATCTCCAGCAATTACATGGTATTTCATTTCATTTCTGTAACTCGAACTGCACTTTAAGGTATTCAGTTACAACTGATGGCATCCCCCTTCCCCATGGAAACAGATCTAAGGCAAACTGAGAGTTTGTGGACTGAAACTTCGGAGTTTTTCATTGTTGAAAGAACTGTTTCCTCTCTAAAAACATGGAGCCTTCCAGTATCCATTAACCAGAGCTCCCCAGTGTCCTCCCACTCATCTTAACCAAGGAGCAAACCTCTGAAAGGTACCAAAGCGCCCCTGTGCATGCCCTATTTATGACTAACTCCCGTCACCTGCACTTCCCACCGTTGTCCTTAGTGGGACCTGAGCATATTTCCATGATCTTTCACCCTTAAGCAGAGATTCTTTTCTTGCAAACTAGTATTCAGTAGCATAGACTCCTAGCCCCTTAGTAAAAAGCAGTGATCACAATCAGAGCATTCTAGCAGTTGCTCTCCCCCTGCCACTCCAGCACACATACACACTCAACACCACCTCCAGAATATCCCTGAATTATCTCATACAAATGCCAGAGAGCAGACGTTTCAAAACATATTCCACCCAGTCCTTACAAACGGCTCAGAAAGACATCGCTTGAGTTCTGAAGAATATCAACACTGAGTTTAAAATAAGACCAATCTTTGAACTTGCCTGCAGTACAACGATAAAAACCATCTCTCCTTTCTTCCAGCTCCCACCACACTTCCAAAGCAGAGCTAAGAAGTCCTACAAGACACCAGCCCCCCGCGGGCTTGGGGACATCCCATTTAACCAGACACGGAGGTCCAGCCACACCATGGAAACGCCTCGGTGGGTCCCTAGTTCTGTAAGTGTGACGGAATAAAGACAGCTCCCTGGAACTGCCAGGGAGTGTCAGCCTTGGGCCAGGAGGACGCAAGCGGCACTGGTCCCTACCTCGGACTTCCACACGACGTAGGGGTGCCCGCGGCTGTTGGGTGGGGCCTGGAACTTTCTCTGCTGGAGCCACCTCCTGGGAGAAGCGAAGATGCCATTGGGGCCTCCCCCCGAGGAGCAGAGAATGGCACTGCGGCCGCTGCCCGGGCTGGCCAGTACAGAAGGCAGGTCCCAGGCGAGGCTCTTCTTGAGGCCGCCGCGACCCAGGGGGACCTCGTAGTCAAAGTGGAAGCTGCCAGAGGGCGACTTCTCCTGCGGGGTGCTGGGGGTGGAGAAGGACGAGCAGAGCGGTCTAGGGGGCGGCAATCGAGCGGCGCGGGGAGGTTGGCCCCGGGGAGATTGTGCAGAACGGGGGCCGAGACCGTCGACTGGAGCCAGGGGGGTGCAGAGGCGGACGCCGGTGGCTCCCCGCGAGCCGCCCTCCGCGCCCGCCTCGCCCCCACAGCCGCCGATCAGGGCCGGGTCCAGACTGCGGGTCTGGCGCAGCTTCCTCTTGGAGATGCCCTTGGTGGAAGCGGCGCTGCCCGAGGCAGGCGAGGAGCAGGAGAAGACGCTGTGAAGGAGGCTCTGCGCGGACATCTCAGCGGGGCTGTGCCCAAGGGCCACCCTCTTCCCGGTCCCGGAACGCTAGCGGTTTGGGGCTCGGAAAGGAAGGGGGCTCGGCGAGCTTGCCAGGTGGGCGGCTCGACGCTCGCGGAGGGCAGCGCAAGGCAGTGGCCACTTCACGCGCCGCCAGCGCGCTCTGGGCGCCCCTGCAGGGACAGACGCGGGAGATCCATCACCCGGCTTTCGGAAACCGGGCCGGAGTCGGGGTCTCCTGCGGCCGCTGAAACCTTACCCGGAGCCCGATTCGCGACGGGGTGGAAGAGGGGGCAGGTCCGGCGCCGCTCTGGTCTCAGCTGCAGCCCGCCAGCGCCACTCCCCCTTCCCAGCCGAGGCCGAGACGCGGCGCTCCCGCGCGCCGGCTCGCGGCAGCCTGGAAGTGTCGGGCAAGCGCCTCCGTGCGCCCCGAGGAGGGTCCCGAGGCCAGGGCGGGAGGCCAGGGCTTGCGCCCAGGGCGCGTCGTCGGCTCTCCGCGCGGCGAGAGTGACTTCCTCCGGCGCGGAAGCGGAGCGCCCCTGCCGCGCCCCGGGGCCCCAGTGCCTGGGCTGCACCCCTGAAGCTGCGCGTCCGGCCTCGCTAGGCTGCTGTGCCCACTTCTCCGACAGGCTCGGCGCAAGGGTGTCTCCAAGCCCCCGGTTCCCGCGGGGTGCCAGTCTCACTACAAAGTGGAGACTCCGACAGCGCTGCGCCGGGGGCCTCCCAGGGGCTGAGCGGCTGCAGGAGCGAATTCCCGGTGCGCCCAGGGAGCTGAGAGCCAGCCGAAGGCGCGGGGGCCAAGCCCCAGCGCAGCTGCCCCGTGGGCCCGGGCAGGCGGACAGTCCCCGCAAGCTCCCACTACGGGCAGCGGGAAAGGGTGGCCGGGACCAGGAGAGCAGGAGGGAAGTCGGGGCTGGAGCTGGGGCGGAGCCAGGAGCAGGAAAAGGCAGAACGTGGAGTTTTCCAGGCGCCAAACCTGGGAGGCGCGCAGAGATAGAGCGCAGCGCGCCAGAGATACCGGGTCTCCTGGGGAGAGAGCCGTGAGGAAGGAAGTGCGGACCTTCACCCCCCCCCCCCCGCTCTCCTCCCCCAGATCGAGGGGCGCCAGCTCCGCTCACGTTTCGGGAAAGGAAGGGAAGTGTCAGATTGCACCCCACCCACTGGTGTCAGATGGGCAGCCCAGGAGGGGTTGCTCAGAAGTTGGAGTTAAATCTCCTGCCTTCCTCCCCCACCCTCCTCCCGCCCGCTGTTTTTGTTTCAAAAGAGGAAGGTTAGAGGTACGGTCAAATGCAGAGGCTGCGGACCGGTGGGCTGGGGCTGGGGACCCACTAAGGAACGGGAGGGGTATGCTAGCCCTGTAGGGGTCGCGTGTAAAAGTACTCGAGGAGGGTGAGCAAGGCCAAGCTGGGGGCAGGCGCCGGGCCAGCGCCTGCGGGAGGCATCTGAGATTGGCGTTCACCGAGCGACTGGACCCAGGTTCCACTCCCCGACGCCCTAGGGCACCGCGCCGCGCGGCCACACGCCTGGGAAGCTGGAAACGCCAGCGATGTCAACATCCCGGCTGGAGACAGTGGGGGAGCAGATTCTCCTGCCACGGCCCCATGCCCAGAATCTTGAGAGCGCCAGCCTCTTCAGGGCCTGGAGAGCTCACAAGCCCTGACGTTTCCAGGGGCACCTTACACTCTTTCCTGGAGGAGCAGAGAGAAAGCTGACAATGCTTTGTGCTTCATTAATTGTGTGCGGCCTCCTTCACCACCTCAGGGTGAGGAGAATTGGATACAAATGCAAACTCTCCTGTACAGTTCTCTTACCAAAGAAAAAAAGTGACAGTGAACTTGTAAAGGAGCCCACACCGCTTCACGAATGCAGGTACTTGGCACAAAAAGTCCCCTTTCCGTGGGTGTGGTGTGCATGTCAGAACTGCCCAACCTTGATTTTGAAAAACTTCCCTCTTTCTGTGAAGCAAATGAATGAACTGACTTTGACTCTCTACAAGCTATGCTCTCTGTAGCTAGATATCCCACCATCTAGGAGGAGGTAAGTCGTGAAATCTGATTAACAGAAGTCCATGCCTGCACAAAGGCTTACCTCAGGGCCCTAATGTACACATTTCTGTAAGTGCAAGGGCCAGACAACACCCAGGGGCATTCCTTCCGGTAACCTTAAGACCCATCTGCTGCCTGAAAATAGGAGATACACCTTCCCATCAGCCTCACGGCTGTGAGGCTCCTAGAGCCCTGAATCCTAGCGAGCAGAGGTGCTGCGGGGAGACCAGACATTTATGCCTGACTCCATGGGTCATATCACATTTAGGGGACTGTTGTGTTTGCTTTCCCCCCTCTTCAAACAAGTCAGATAGATGTCGAGCATGGTGGACCTGGTCTGCCTTTCGGTGAGCAATACCTGGTAACTTGCCACTAGCAAGGAAAATATGACGTGTGTGCACCACTTGGAAACCCGGGCATGGAACTGGTTGTGCCTCAGTGGGTTTTGGCATTTGGAGTAGATGGTTAACAAAGTCACACTTCATGGGACCACTCAGAGCCCAAGGTGGCGAAGCAAATGTATTTTACGGTCCATACACATTGCATTTCTCTAAGTCCGTATGGTGACCCAGGGTTGAAAGCTCAGGCCGACCATGATGGTGTAGGGCTAATAAGAATGCCCAGTCACACACTCCTCATCCTGGAGGCGGCAAGCCAGTAAGCAGAGGGACGCTTCTAGAGCACACTGCCGCCGGGATCAGACACAGCCAGTTAATTCATCATCTTGTTTAAAACAGGTCTTGACCCCACATTAGCCTGGAGCCCGCCTCACTGTTGTTTCCAAGGGATAAACTGTTTTGAATATTCATACCATTAAGTTCAGGCTCCTTTCTTAAAATCCAGTGTAAGTGTGTATGCTTTAGGAATACATTTACAATGCAGTGTCTCTTGTGGAAAGACTTTACAAGAAAATTATTTGGATTTTTTTCAGTGATCTTTTTTAAAGCATTCAGATTTCCAACCTGCCTGATTTAGGTTGATGTTGCACTTATTGTGGCTTATGCCTGGCTATGACATCTTATTCTCCTCCTGCACATTATATAATCTCTTTGCCTCTATGGACTCAACTCTTTGGCCTTCCCGACTGTCGTTTTATGCCAAACTTGATTAAGGAAAATCTCAGTTTCAAAAGCAGTTGGTTTAGTTACATCCAACCCCAGATCCATTCTTAAAATTCATCAGCCTGCTTCAGAAGCAACATAACTGGTCGCCAAAAGATAAGTGGTTTTGAAAATACATCCTTTAAACACCCATCCCCTACAAGGGCATGGGCTACTGAAGAGCAATGGCTGCCTTTGCTCGCGGGTCCCCCTCAGAGTTAAGCTAGTCAAAGCCTCAGGATGCCCTTCATAAAGGACAGATACTCATTTCCTGTTATAATCATCCTAGAAATTTGGGATCAAAAGTAATCTCTATTCCATCTGGTCATGGCACAAGGCAGTCTAATGAAAGTTCTAGAGTTCTTGATCTGACATCAAGGTATTGTCTTCTTAAGGGTCCTAGAAAACCCATCAGTTTTCTATCTAGCCCCTTGAGACATTGTTGTCCAAACACATAACTCTTACTATCAAAGGATATATTCTGTTTAACCTAAATTTCCCTTTTCTCAACTTTATCCCTTGAAGCCTTTCATATCTCTAGCCAAAATTCCTCTTTCCCCTTGGTGTTTAGACCCTCAAGCTATTTGTAGATTTTTATCATGCCCCTTGGGTCTGACTTTGTGGTTTGGCTGCACTATAAAGTTCTTATTTTCTTCAAAACCATCATTGCAGATGATCTCTTCTGGATTTCCTCCAGTTGCTTATTTCTTTCAGTCCTGAGATTCAACATTCTGGGATAGGGCATCTTATTTGCCCATGTTTGTTATATAATTCCATTGCTTAGATAGTCCCAAATCACACTGAACTTCCTGATCGAATGCCGTATAATATTTCAGACTTCTATCTGATTGGCTCTCAACTCTTAGGCAGCATCGTTGATTTCTTTTTCATCCCACCATGTCTCTCAAACTGATTGTGATTCCTCTGCTATCATTTCTACATTCTTAGTGGTATCTGGGATAAACAGTTCACAGCATCTCAGTCTCCCATAGAAGAAGCCAAGGGTTCTGCCGCCAATCTTCTGAAATATGAACAAGAGGGCATGGTTCTAATCTGTGTGATGTGGAATATGTGAGAAGTGCGTGGGGATTTAAGGCTGTAATTGCACGAAGCAGCCAGGCTGTCCCATGCCTAAGCGACTTCCTGACTGATTGTAAGGGAGGACATTTTTTGCAGCTGAACTAAGATTGTTTCTTTAGATTCCTGTTCTAGTGTCTTCCTGACTGAATATAACTATCGAGCCACTGAAAGTAGACTTGGTGGATGTCAGCAGGGATAGATGTGGACTTGTGACATAATCCCAAATGGGTAAAGTTAGCAAAAGTTTACTTTCTTAAGTGCCAACCCAGCACTGAGGAAGAGTGAGCATTTTGCACAGAAGGAAGTGCTGTCATGCTTGCTCTCAAAAAGGTAGCTATAATGCTTTGCAAGACACTGGAGCATTTGAGAGTCTCATTCCTAACCAGTACTACGACTTCAGAAGACTAAGCTCTAAATCCTATTCTCTGCCTTAGAGAACAATTTAATATTAAAACACAAAAAGATATTCAGGAAAAATATGTAGGCTGAACATGTCTATACCATAGGCTAACTTGACTTAAAGGTTGCACTCGAGATCATCATAACAACAGAAGAGCAACTAACACTCACTTGTTGGTAATACTAGATTGAAAATTACTTCCTGGCAGTTACTGGCTGAAGGCTTGCCTGTATTAGCCAAGTCAACACAGGTCCGCGCACACACATAACTCTATCATAGTTAACCCCCGATTTTACAAATGAAGAAAGCCAAGACCTAGCGCAGTCCCCCCAGATTACCCCTGGTTAAATGGCAGAGCTAGTATTCAAATCCATGCTCTCCAGCCCCATCCTCTAACTCACCAGGACTAGCATTGCATTTAAGAAACCTTTCAGGGCCCTCCCTGGTGACGCAGTGGTTAAAGCACAGCACTAAGAAGCTAAAACCACTTCCGCAAGAGTTCGATTCCCACCTGCCCTGGAGGTGACCACATGGCGTGGCAGACCTCTCCTGGCCTGCCCTCTGCTCCCCTTAGCAGTGTACTTCGTCGATCTGCCTGTTCTGCTCCCCACTCTGTCCCTGGTGAATCCTCTCACCCTCCACATCTCTGGATTGTACCCCAGTTCTGTA